AATCATAAAATATTAATAAATTAATATTGTTTAATTAATTATGGAATATAAACATAAATCGGGCTCACAAAAGCGGAAGGAAAAAGCTACTGCTTTGGAAAACGACAAAATCGGTAGTCGTTCGTTATTTCAATTCGGAATCATTAAAGAAAAAAACAAAACAAAGACAGCCGTAAATTTTCCTACTTCGGCTGAGTCTCCTGACTGTCCGGTAGGGCTAGAATTTTCAGAATCGCACCGATTGGATGAAAATGGAAATAGCGATATCCAAATTCAAAATAATGACAGTGTAAATATAATAAAAGATAATGATGCCTCTGTAAACATAGAAACTGTTGAAAGATTTGGATTTGTCGTTGGTACTTTGCCAGCCGGGCCAATACCCACACAGACTATAGAAACCGTGATTCGAAACGGTCCACCTAGACACCCGGACAATTTTCCGGGAGATGGACAAAGAGCTTTTCCGACGTGCATTTTAAAGGTGTCCAGACAAAATGGAGATGTTTGTGAAAGGGATTGGTTGGTATGGAGTAAAGAAAAAGAATCCCTGTTTTGTTTCCCATGTAGATTATTTAGTGAAATTGCCGTATCTTGCAGATCAATTTTGTCAAGTGATCAAGGATGGTCAAAACTAAAAACATGGCGTAAAGTGTACGATAAAATACCAGCTCATGAAAAAAGTGACGGTCATAAAAAATGTTAAATAAAGTGGCGCGATTCAGAAAGAAGATTTCTCTTTGGAAAGAATATAGAGTCTCAGATTGATAAAGAAATTGCTACAAAAGTAAAATACTGGAAAGAATTGCTTAAACGAATTTTAGCAGTGGTTTTATTTTTGGGTGAAAGAGGACTTGCATTCAGAGGTTCTTCCAACAAAATTGATGACCATGATAATGGAAATTTCCTTGGGATTATAGAATTGTTAGCTTAGTTTGATCCGTTTTTACAAGAGCATGTTTCTAAAGTTCAAAAATCTCAAAAACTTGGACAACGCCTTCAGGTTCATTACTTATCAGCAGATTCTCAAAATGACTTTATCGAAGCATGCAGCTCAAAAGTTATTCAAGAAATTTTGGCAGAGAGAGAAAGGTCTAAGTATTTTTCAATTATGGTAGATGCTACACCAGATTGTTCTCATACAGAACAAAGTACTTTCATTCTGAGATATGTACAAAACTGCAACTCAACATTTTCGGTCAAAGAACGTTTTCTTGCATTTGTTGATTATAACAAAAAAACTGGCCAGGATGTTGCAGATATGATCAAATATGAACTGGAGAAAAACAAAATTTCTCTGGATGACTGTCGAGGTCAGGGATACGACAACGGCTCAAATATGGCAGGAAAGTTCAAAGGAGCACAAGCAATCATTGCACATGCATATCCTCTAGCGAAATTTTCAAATTGTGGCGCCCATAGTTTAAATTTGTGCGGTATGCATGCAGCAGAATGTTGCAATGACGTTATAACTTTTTTTGGAATAGTTCAAAAGTTGTACAATTTCTTTGCGTACAGTCCTCAACGATGGGAAATTCTACAGAGATTAACTGGATGCTCACTGCATAATCTTTCTCAAACTAGATGGTCGGCACGTGTGGAAAGTGTGAAACCGATTGCGAAGCACCTGCCAATTATCAAACATGCTATTATTAAATGTAAAGAATTAAATTTGTCATCAGAAAGTAAGACTGAATTGCAAGGAATTGAGCGTTATATGGAATCATTCAAGTGTGTTTTAATGGCTACAATATGGCTCAAAGTTTTAGTTGCTATAAACAATCGAAACAAAATTATTCAAGCCAGAGAAGCCACATTGGATGTAGAAGTAGAAAACATCGACATTCTTCTTAGGGAACTGAAGGATCTACGTGAAAAATGGGACTTATTGCTAGCAGAAGCCAAAATAACAGCAGAAACTATGTCGTCGGATATTTCATGTGAAACAGAACTTCCAGAAAAACGCCAAAAACGACGAAAACGTTTTTATGATGAAAATCAACATATGCCAGAAGAAAGCGCACAACATGAAGTAGATGATGATTTTAAAGTGAACGTTTTCTATAAACTTATCGATAGTATAATATCTGGTTTAACAGAGCGTTTCCATATGGCTAGAAATATTAACAATTCTTTCAATTTTTTGTGGTTATTTACAGAACTTGGAGAAAGTGATCTGGAAAAGAAATGTTCTAATTTCTGCAAAGAATATGACAAAGATGTCAGCAGTGACTTAATTAATGAAGTGAAATGTCTAAAATCAATTTATTCGGATACCATACAGAGTGAAAATCTTCATCCCATAAAACTGTTGAATAAAATTTATCAGTTGAAATTGGAATCTATATTTCCAAATATTGCTATTGCCTTACGAATCTTTTGTACAATTCCTGTAACTGTAGCAGAAGCTGAAAGGACATTCAGCAAGCTGAAGCAAATAAAAAGTGTGCAGCGGTCAACTGTGAAACATGAACGATTGAACAGTCTTGCGACTTTGGCGATTGAACATGATTTGGCAAAGTTATTGAATTTTGATGACGTTATTAACAATTTTGCCCTAGCCAAATCAAGGAGAGTTTGTTTCTAAAACAATAAATACCGATTTGTTACATTTGGATATTTAATTTAAAAAGTAAACTTTAATGTTTTTTTTTTCAAATAAAACTGAATAAAACTATACTTTGTTTTTGTTGGCTATATCGGTCAATCTTAAATTATAAATATTAAGGTACAAGTAGTATACGTATATGATATGCGAATTTTTTTGAATGTCATGTAACCTAAAATAAGATACTTTAGAGGTTTATCCTCCGCGGTCATCGGGAGGCCCGTCACAGTCCAGCCTAGGGGCCCGAAATTTCTGTCGGCGGGCCTGCATACTATCAACGACATCATCGGGCAGTGTATAAGTTTGTGTGAGTGTGTGTACGTGTGAGTGTGTTGTGTTTGTGAGAGTGTAGATATGTTTGTGTGTGTTTGTTTGTTTGCGTGAGTGTATGTTTTTATTAGTGTATAAGTTTGTGTGAGTGTGTGTATCTGTGAGTGTGTTGTGTTTGTGTGTGTATGTGTGTGGATCTGTGAGTGTGTTGTGTTTGTGTGTGTATGTGTGTGGATCTGTGTGCGTGTGTTTATGTGTTTGGCGACTGCTAAAAAATTTGTTTCAAGGAAGATTGAGTGCTGATGCACTTGTAAAACCTAAATGTAAAAAATTAAAATAAGAATGAATGAATGAATTACCTGGATGAACGGATAAATAAAAGAAAAATACGAATGAATGAATAAATGAATGAAATACTTAGATGAATGATTGAAATATATGAATGAATGAATGAATGAATGAATGAATGAATGAATGAATGAATGAATGAATGAATGAATGAATGAATGAATGAATGAATGAATGAATGAATGAATGAAGGAATGAATGAAATACTTGGATGAATGGATAAATGATTGAAATATGCAAATGAACAAATGAAATACTTGGATGAATAGATAAACATACCAATGAATGAATGAATGAATGAATAAATGAATGAATGAATGAATGAAAAATTAGAATACCACTTACAGCAACAAAAGCTTCATGTCTGTCGCTCATGGCTTTCCTCTTCGGCTGGTCGGTCAGTGCCTGGTTTTGCTGCTGCTGCTGAATTCTCATCAGAGCCCTGGTCGGGTCGTGCTGGATCAGCTGGGTGGGTAGGGAACTACGATTGATGGTGTTGTTGTGGTGGCTACTGTTGTTGCGGTGGCTGCTGTTGTTGTGGTGGCTGCTGTTGTTGTGGTGGCTGCTGTTGTTAACGTTCTCCTTGCCTGCCTTCAGAAGCTTCTTTTTCAATACGGCGACAAAGTGTCGTCGCCGCGTTCGACATTTCAGGTCGCATTCCAGAACGTTCTTCCAGAGCCTGCTTACTTGTGTAAATCTGTGTTTGGGGATGTAGTAGTAGTAGTAGTAGTGGTAGTAATTGTAGTAGTAGTGGTGGTGGTGATTGTAGTGGTAGTAGTAGTAGTAGTAGTATTAGTAGTAGTAGTAGTAGTAGTAGTAGTAGATTGGCTCCTTCTCAAATTTAAGAACCATTTTAACATTCCACCGATGAATTACAAGATGTATTATAGGATAAATTATATGATGACTTGGATGATAACATCATGATGACAACAAAACATTAGAAAACATGGAACACCAAAATTTATAAAAATATGGAATGCCAAATCCCACCTGACAAGATCCTCGTCTGAGAGATGTGACATAATTTTTCCGAGGAGTACATGAGCCCCTTTCACGAACAAGCCCTCGATAATGTCATAGTAGGTGAGACCCATCTTTCGACCAATCAGATTTTCAAGGCACGGTGGTGCATTATCCCGGAGAAATTTTTTTAGTTTTGCATCGAACGTAAGGCTATCGGTTTTGCTGTGCTTGGTTGGAATGTGCTCGGGTTTCTGAGGCGAGACGATGCTGACGTTGTTGTTGTTGTTGATCGAGGTTGTTGTATTATTGCACGAAAATGTGACGTTGCTGTAGTCAGGTAGTTGTTGTTGGCTGTATGATGATGTCACCGACAATGACATGACATTATCGCAAGCCGACATCAACTCATCCGATTTGGATTTGCTCCCGCTAGCCATAGTATCGACATATTTGTTTCTGCACTGTTGAAACTCATGTGTATGTTGCTGTTATTGACATTAAAAGCCGACATGCATTGCTTCAGCGAGGACACGTCGTGACTTGGATCGTGCACAATGCCGCTGATGTTCTCATCGGAGCACGAAGTTGAGGTGACCCAGCTGCCGTTCGAGTCATCACTGTTATAGAAGAAGGATTGGTCCTTTAGTTGGCGATGCAAAAATGATGGAGTGTCAAAGGTGTACGAGCGTTTGAAGTCCACGCACGAAAACGTTTTGTTGCTGAAGGTGTTGAAGTTGTTGTTGCTCTGAATGTTGCAGCTGATGTTGGTGTTTTTACGGTTGTTGCTTTCGTTGTTGAAGATGTTCTCATTGAGGTACTGGCTGATCTTTTGCGTGTTGAAACTTTCAAAACTTTTGCGAGGTTTGCTCAGCAGTGGATGCTGCCGTTGGTTTTGACATCGGAGTCTATCAACAGTTTGTTGTCGTTGTTGATCAGCATTTTGTTGTTGCTGTGTGA